CTCGCTCTCTCTCTCTCTCTCTCTCTCTCTCTCTCTTATGACTTTGTAAGTGTTTAAGTAGCTTATTCTAGCTATTGGCTATGCGCTAACGGATGTGTTTTGCTTACTTGCATTCAATCTCAACATTTTGAGATTTAATGGAAGCAAGGAGTTCAATAAATGGATTATAAATACATAGTTTAGCTTGCCATGAGAAGAAGATGGTACCACTCGTTTTGTTTTTTGAAGCTAGAGCAATTAGCATAGCATAATTGGGGAAACAGCTAACCTAGCTCTTGCTAAAGTAATATTTCATCTGGCGACTCGCCCCTCTCAAACGCACTAACTAACACATTTTATTCTGGTGGTTAATACAAACCAAAATGCAAACTATAGTTTGTGTTTTGACGAGAGCTAGCATGGCTATTCTATGCTAATGACTTTCCTGGTTGGCTATCAGACTCAAAGTGACGACAACTATTATCGTTTTCATCTCGTGAAAACGATAATAGTGTATTGCTCAAAATCTAGAGCTGTTTCTTTAACTTCTCTCCTTACATTTTTATGTTTTTATCTTTGACATGTTTTCATGGAATCCCATATTTTCTTAAACGAAGCTGCTAGTTTTTCCAGAGATTCAACAGAAAAGTTTAATGTCCATCAAAGCCTTGGAAGTTCTTCAACTGTCTGTCATCTAATGTGTAATTTCACCTCCTGAGAAATATCTTACAAGTTGTTTATTTAATCACAACAAGACAAGACCCTATTGTGGTTCAGTGATTAGCTAGATTTGTCTGTGCTTGACTTCATGTGAAAGTGTGAAACTTGACCATAATTTAAATACACAGAAGAATTCTTGAGAGAAACTTTCCATTTGTTTTCTGACATGCAGTGGGTCTACATTCGAGAAGCCAGATTGTTTGCTTTATAGAAGTATATTTAATTCACGTTTTATATTCGATGACATTTCAAAAGTTCCCTTATAATTCACTTGACGTTTGTATGGAAACACAGCGTCGGTTTCGCTCTCTCTCACACACAACGTGCCGTTGCCAAAGCTCAGGAACTCCTAAGTCTGCAATCAAAACGCCAAGGTAAAGAGAGAAAAACATTAATCTGAGAAATTAGTTAATGTTAAAAATAACAAAAGCCAATGTTTTACTGAGTGCCTGATGTTTGTGTAACACACCCATGGCTGAAAAAAACATTCTGTGTCTTACGTTCGCTACTGACTGAGTGTAAATGGAAGCTGACAGCTACACTTCGCACTTCCAAATGTATGTCAGTGGTGTGCCTTCAGCTGCAGACCCCACAGCTTCAGAGAGAGCAGAGAAAGGTAGAGTAGGAACAGAAAGATAACAAAGACAGGAAGAAGAAAAGAAAGACGGCGATACTGAAGGAGAAGAGGAAGAGAAGAGAGGAAGACGGACAGAAACAGACAGATTGGATAAAGATACAGAGAGATAGAGCGAGCGAGAGAAAACAGCGAGAGAGCAGCTGTCCTAACAGCTGGCCAGCAGGATTGATGTCTCTGTGAAATAAAACTCAACATATGTCCAAACATGAGGAGACAGGCCAGCCAAGAGGAGGAAAAAGATACACACAGACACACACACACACACACACACACACTGATATGAGAACAACCTCTCCAAAGCACTTGAACATACATGCACACCGCACACGCTGATTAAAGAATGCCTGGACACTGCACAGAGACTTATATGACACACACACAAACACACACCTTCCATCAC